GGCTGAGTTGTCTCGGTTAGAGATCTCGTCACCTCTTCGAACCGTTGCTGCCGGGCAGTTAACTGCTGCAAGGTACGCTCGTTGTCCTGAGCTCTTTCTACCAACTGCACCATCATTCGGCGCATTTCGGATAGCTGAGCTTCCGAATGATGCGGAGTGTGTTGGCGTTGAGGGTTTTCGGGAGGAGTAGCTCCGGTGTGGCTTCCACCGGAAGACCTTGGGTTAGCTATCCCAGTTCGGTTCGGTTGAGCGCTAGCCGGAGGCTGTTGCTCGGATCGAAGGTCAGCGGGTTGAGGTTCCGGATCCTGAGGGTCCGGATCTCTTCTGTTCGGTGATCCGTCGATCTGGATCACGGGATCCGGGGTGGATGGATTCGTTGCCTGGTTGGACGGATCCATTCTCAAGTTATGGAGTGAAGGATTCAATTATCTCGTCCCCACAGACGGCGCCAAAAATGTGAGGGGTAAAACTCACTTTCTAATTTAGGTTAGGTAAAAGGTTTGGGGAGAAGACAATCGTGGGCTGAATCCCTTAAGAACTTAGAGAATGAATACGTTGTTTATATTGATTTTTGGTAACAAAAGAGTTTACAAAGATGATTCTTGATCTGAATAAAGAGAACAATGGAAAATGACTAAGAACAAAGTGTATTAGNTGTTTTGTCAGGTCCTTACGAAAGAATCCAGACCTGTTCTCCGTGACCTCTTTCTTGTGACCTCTTTCTCGAGATCAGCTCCCTTCCTTAGGTGAGCTGTATTCTTCTTTGCGATATTAACCCATGTCCGGCCCATTATTGGGCTTGGTTTAACTAATTCGCTAACTTCAGCTGACGGGCTATATTTGGGCCCAACAGTATTCATGTAACACAGAAACAGGAAATGGTTTTTCCGAATCTGCAGAGTCATCGGGAAGAAAATCTTGAACCACATCCGAACAGAACTTCTTCATAGAGTTTCCAACAGTCTGAACTTGGCTCTCAACGTATTTAGTTGTGTCCTAGAACAAGGAAAAAAGCAAAGCAAAGAGTTAGGGAAAATGTATACTATAGCCTGAGGTTGTGCTTATCCAACAATATAGCATTTACCTGGACGATAAGTTCTTCGACCTCTAAGCACATTGCTTCAAACTTGTGGTAGACATTTCCAACCCATGTTATACCAAGAACGTTCTGTCACTTTCTCCAACGAAAAGAAATATCAAGAGATATAAGAAAACAAACAGGTATGGTATACACAAAAGAAGAGAACAAGGGTAATGAATGAAAGTTATGCAACTTGTAAGCAAAGCCTTGCTTAGGTGTTTCCAGTAAATGAACGAATACACCCCAAATCCTAGGAGCATTTTAGAAGCTTTGTTACTTCTTACTTAAACAAAAGATATTTTTGACTGCAGAGACAAGCTATCGCTCTGTATCCACATGTTTTGTTTAATCTCTAAGAACTAAAAGAGAAGCCATTACACCAGAAAATCGAAAAGCCAGAAATAGAAAGTTCAACACCAAAGTTACAATGATCATGATTGCGACAAAAATCTCAAGAGGGGAGACTATTATTAATTATTTATCAAGAGACGTAATTCAAGTTTCCAAGATCAATAAACTAACAGCTGATTGCTTCATACGATCATCAACTAGGTCTTGAATCAATTAGCAAAAAAAAAAAACGAATCTAAAGAACAGAACTTAAACGGAGTAACTTTAAGCGTGGAGCAAAGGGATAGAGAGAAAGAAGCTTACCTTTGTGAACTTGGCAAAAGAAAATGTGTTAAAAAGAGAGAAGTTCGCGACGAGGGAGAAACCACGTGAAGAAGAAGGGAAACCATTATTGCAAATCAATCAGTAAACTGAAAACAAAACAGAGAGAGAGAGAGAGACGGATTATTAACCTCAAAGCTACGTACGCACAAGGGATCAAATCCAATTCAGTTTTCTCAATCAATTGAGAGATTTTGTCATGTTACTATCGCGATGAAGCAAGCAAAATTAATGTCCAAAAATCAAAACCTTTTTTTTTTCACAGGAAACTCTGGGTTTGCGTTGCGTTGACAATTATTCTATCAAAAAAAGTTAGTATCAAGAGAAATAGTGAATCTGTTTTTTTAACACGTGGCAGGTTGGATCTATGCTATTCCACGATTGAGACCTTTAAAATTTAAGCGGTATCATATCCAAACTCGAATTCAGTCCCAAAAATCCAAACCAAAATTAATTAAAATAGAAAAAATACTTGAATAGATTTTATTATGAGAATATTCAGGAATCCAAATTTGATAAATCATATCCAATACCCGAAGTATAATCCAAAAGTAATTAATCCTATATCACCTTAAATCTACATTTTTTATTCTTGTTTATTCTAATCGACTTCATATATATGGATCTGATGGAGTGATGGATTTCCGACATGATTATCCTTTTGGATTGTGTCACTCTATGGCATATATGGTTCATGTCATTGAGCTGTTGAAAAGATTAGTGTATAGTTTGGAATGTGCAGAAAAAGAGTCAATAGATGGGGTTGGAACTATGTTGAATGATTTCATGGTTTGAAAATATATCGCAAACACTAATGGATTCTAAATCTCTATATTGAAATATTTAAAACTTCCAGCTTTTGTGGTAAAGAATTTATAGATATGAGTATCGTCACCTGAGTTCGAGTCTGATCATTCAAAACGCTCTAAGTGATAAAAAACATAGATTTAGGGATTTAATAGTGATTAGTCTTTGGACCTAAAATTTTTTTGGGACACCACACGATTATCAAAAACAATTCAAAATACTTATTCTTCAATTTGATTGGATCCGAAAAAAATCTAAAATATTTAATCCTCGATTTGATTGAATCCGAATGAATACTCAAACACCTATATATCCTTATGACTTAATATGGAAATCACAAAACCTTACCTTAGTGTTTTGTTAAGGTTCTTTATTTTCTTGGATCTTAATAATCATGTGGAATATATATATAATAGCAAACTGAAAGTGACATCAGCATTTTTTTATAGGAAAAAAAAAATTCAATCCAATGGTCATAGTTAACTTGATTTTAAGATCTAATGGACAAAAAAAAACTTTTTCATATGATTGATGATGTCATCAAATATTTGACAACTCTTCATTGAAAAGACATATATTTCATTTTAATAGCCACAATCATATTTGTCATACATTTTCATAAGTTTAAATATTAATATTGACTTTTTAGAAGATAATATTTGTATGTGTCGTGACCTAAGAGGTATGAATGTGTCGTGACCCAAGAGGTACAAATGTGTCATGAACCAAAAGGTACGAACGTGTCGTGACCGAAGAGGTGCGAACGTATC